CCTCTTTCCAAAAGGGTTAAAAACAAGTGGTTGAAGAATTCTTTGTAAAAAGGGACCCCTTTGATGGGCGTTTTGGGAAGTTGGGGATGAATGGTTTGAAAAACCGACAAGTTGAAGATTAGACATTTTACATTTTTGGGGAAAATCTTTATTCAGGAACCGTTTCGCCAAAACAGTGGCTTCATCTCCCCAAATTCAAAGGGGAAAGGCCCCGTAAGGAGAGGAGAAGTATGAGGAAATTCATTTCCCTCGGGCCTGGATTTCCCGTTGTTTTAGTCCATCAATTTTGTTAGAATGTACACCCTTTGGGCCGTGGGACGTGGCTTATATACTTGTCGGTTTTTCTGTTATATTTTTAAAAATTTTTTTGAAAAAATATTGTTTCAAACTTTGGAAAAATTGTTTCTTCCCCAGATGAGGGACTGACCACCCCAAAACTTTAAGGGGGGATGGGTGATTACATCGTCTTCAGTTCTTTTTGTTTTTATCCTTTTCTGTTTCTCGACTGAAGAAGCCTACTGTGTTTGGGCGAAACGTTTTTGAAAAAAAGATAACCCAACTGTTTTGTGTCTTACCCAACAAAATTGTCCTGGGGTTAAAAAATTTAGTTAAGTGCACCACACCAGTAATTTTTTCCTGGGGTTTTTAAAACCCTTTGGTGCCCCATTTCAAATACCACAAAAATATTGTCCTGGTGTTTTTCGTTAAGTGCCAGTGACCACACCAGTAATATAAACCCGGTTTTTAAAATTTCGGGCCGGGGCACCCACCAGTAATTTTTTCCCGGTTTTTTAACTTTAGTGCACAGTGCACCACCCCCCGAATATTATTTCCCGGTGTTTTAAATTTCAGTGCACAAGGGGCAACAACCGTAACTTTTTCCTGGTGTTAACCTTGGTTTCACAGTGCACTGCAACAATTTAAAATTTTTCCTGATGAATAATTTTGTGCAAAAAAGCACCAAGCCCCTTTATATTGTCCTTATATTAAGTTCTGGCACAGTGCAACACTTGTAATTTTTTGTCCTTGTGTTAAGCTTCAGTGCCAAAAGTGCTCCCACACCAGCAAAATTGTCCTTTTGGTTTTGGGAAAAATTCTTGGCACAGTTTCCCCTACCCCCAGTAAAATTTTTCCCCGGTGTTACTCTTTAGTGCACAGGCCTTTCACCCGTAAAATTTTTTTCCTTTTTTGGGGTTAACTTCAGTGCAAGTGCCCCTAATCGTATCACTGTTTTTTGTGTTAACCTTTTAGTGGGACAGTGCAAATACTTTAGTATCACTGTCCTGGCGTTTAAAAATTTAGTGCACGTTGGGCCTACACCAGTTTTCACTGTCCGGTTTTTTAACCTTCAGTGCACGTGCACTAAAACCCGTAAAATTGTCCGGTGGTAAAACCCTTTAGTGCACAGTGCACTTCCCCCGTGTCATTGGGCTTGGAGTTTAAAAATTTTAGTGCACAGTGGGACTACACCGTATCAATGTCCCGGTGCTAACCTTAGTGCACAGTTTCCTACCCCAGTAATTGTCCTGGGGTTTTAAACCCTCGTGCACTGTGCCTACACAGTAAAATTGTCCCGGTTTTTAAAATTCAGTGCCAAAATGCACTTTCCCCAGGGTCATTTTTCTTGGGTTAAAACCTTCAGTGACAGTGCACTACACCAGTTTTCCCCTGTCCAAGGGGTTTTAACCCTTTAGTGCAAAAGTGCATACCCGTAATATTGTTTTTGGTTTTTTAACCATTTAGTGCCCCGTGCACTACCCCCCGCAATATTGTCCCGGTGGTTAACCCCCAGTGCATTGTGCATTCACCGTATCAATTTTTCCTGTTTTTAATTTTCAGTTTTTCCCCTGCACCACACCCGTAATTTTTATCCCCGTGTTAACCTACAGTCAAAAGGCACCACACCAGTAATTTTTCCCAGTGTTAACCTTAAAAGTGGGACAGTGCACCAAAACCCGAATTTTATCTCGGTGTTAAACCCCACAGTGCACGTGACCACAAACCCGTATTTTTATCCCCCGTGTTAACCCACAGTGCCAAAATGCACCAACCAGTAAAATTATCCCCGAGGGTTTAAAAAACCCGTGCACATGCCCACGCCAGGGAATTTTCATCCCGGTTTTTTAAAAACCCACGGCAAGGGGCACCAAACCGTTTATTTTTCCCAGTTTTAACCTACGGGGCACAGTGCCAAACCAAAACCAATTTTTTTTTTTCCCCGTGGGTTTTTTCGGTGCACAAATGCCCCCAGACCGTTAAAATTATCCCCGTGTTAAACCCCGGTGCCCCAGTGCACCTCCAGTTAAAATTATCCCAGTGTTAACCTTTCAGTGCACCCGTGCACCACAAGTTAAAATTTTTTTCCCCGTGTTAACCTACGGTTTCACGTGCACAAAACCTGTAAAAAAATTTTCCCCGTGTTAAACCCACAGTGCACAGTGCACCACACCCCTTAAAATTATCCCCGGGGTTAACCTATAGTGCCAGTGCCCCCAAACCCCTTAAAAATTATCTCGGTGTTTAAACCCCAGTGCACAGTGAAACCCCACCATTTTAAAATTATCCCCGGGGTTAACCTATAGTGCAAAAGGGCCAAACTATAACATTATTCCGGGGGTTTTTTAAAACCCCAGTTTCACAGTGCACCAAAACCAGTAAAAATTGTCCTAGTGGTAGGGGCCCACAGGGGCCTACACCGTTTGAAAACATATTGCGTAGTTTTAGCATTCGGTTCAGTTCGGGAAAAAGGGGGGGATAAATCCCGTTCCTGGATTTAAAGGTTTTTCACCCAAAATCAGGGGGGCCCCAAAGACAATTTTAAAAACTAAATCACTGTTGCTCAACAGTAGAACAGGGAAAATTTAAAAATTTTTTCCTTTAGGGGAAAAATTAAAAAATTTTAAAAAACTTTTGTTTTCAAAATTCTTTCTTCCTTCAAAGCAATATCAAAAAATTTTTAAAGGGATTTTTCAGTGTATTTAAAAAACAATTTGGAAAACCCAAAGATACGCCTAAACATATTTTTGACAAAAAATTTTTTGATTTTTTTTTCCCCATTTTAAAGCTTTCACAATTATGAAAAGTCCTTTAAATTTCCCCATGAGGAAGAAAAAAAAAAAATGATTGGGGGTTCTTTTCCTTTTAGCTTTAATTGAAGGTGTTCATTCCCTTTTGCTTTAATTTAAGGTTTTTAATTCTTTACCTTTAAATTGGGAAAGGGGGTTTATCCTTTACCTTTAATTGAAAGGGTTCTTTTCCCCTTTTCTTTAATTGAAAGGGGTTTTAAACCATTGCCAAAAAGCGGAAAAAAGGAAAGAGGATGGGAAAATATATGTACTGTTAAACGAGGCATGAGGTGGGAACTTTATTTACTGTAGCAGGCTTTAGGGTTTGGGGAAAATTTTTGGGGATGTGAAGGGGGTGAGGGGTGGGGGAACTATATGTTTCCGGGGGCGAGGCATGAGGATGGGGGAAAATTTTTGTAGTAGCGAGGCATGGGGATGGGAAACATATAGTACTGTAGCCGAGGATTTGGGGGGGGGAACATTATGGACTGTTGCAGAGGGATGTGGATGGGAACATATATGTACTGTAGCCGAGGCATGAGTATGGGAACATATATGTACTGTAGCAGAGGCATGAGGATGGGAACATATATGTACTGTAGCAGAGGCATGAGGATGGGAACATATATGTACTGTAGCCGAGGCATGAGGATGGGAACATATATGTACTGTAGCAGAGGCATGAGGATGGGAACATATATGTACTGTAGCCGAGGCATGAGGATGGGAACATATATGTACTGTAGCAGAGGCATGAGGATGGGAACATATATGTACTGTAGCCGAGGCATGAGTATGGGAACATATATGTACTGTAGCAGAGGCATGAGGATGGGAACATATATGTACTGTAGCAGAGGCATGAGGATGGGAACATATATATACTGTAGCAGAGGCATGAGGATGGGAACATATATATATACTGGAGCCCACATTACAAATTTCTTTTCCATGTTTTCTCCAGTATGAAAGTTGCTTTTATATTCGAGTGAAGAATTCTGCTGCACACCGTACACGTGTTCGCTAATAACGACACACGTGTTGCACATGTGTATTAATGATCAGCTTGGTGGTATCATATGAATATGATTATAACATCAACAGTGTTCTTATCTCAAGTGATTATTGCAGTAATAATACTCTTGATAATAAGTGATTCACACGAGCATCATTGTTTTATCCCATTGATAATATAAACCAAAATCCTTGTTATCTCTGCTTATTATTACAACAAAATATTAATGTAATCTCATGTCAATATGTCAGTAATCCATATTGTAACAAGTCCTTATTACAGCAGGATTATCAGTGTTATCTTAGATCATTAATAAAAAATTCTTATCTCTAGTTAACTGTATAATAACAAGATCTGTGTTTACACATGTTATTATTACAAAAACAATGTTTATATTATGATGTAAATGGTTTAAAAACTCACAAAGTGAAGACTGACACATTTGAACGACTTGTAGGAATCTTTATTGTAGAATCGTGTCGCCATTCAGTGGCTTGTTTGGTCCAGTACAGAGAAGAACAGTGGAAGGTGAGGAGGAGTTCAGGGTAATACAAGCTGATGGGCTGTTTACCTCAGACTCCTCCTCCTCTTTTTCTATTGTTCTTCTATGAATTGGAGTGAGGAACCTACTGGCTGGTGGAATTTTTCCACGATAAAGATTCCCAAATGTTTCACAAGTACCTCATTCTTCAATATTTGTGTTACCTCATGTCAGTATTACTGTAATAATATCCTTGTCAAAGCAAAATTAATATTATTAATTTGTATAAACAATATTAATAATTTATCGGGTCATTATTAGTACAACAATATTCCGGTTACTTCATATAATTACTGTCGTAATAACAGCTATATTAATTCAGGTCCGAGTATCAATAATAGTCATTATTGCATTAACAAAAGCCATGTTATCATCTCAGGTTTTCGCTACGATAAACCCCATGAAATACTTCCTGATGGTTGGCTACGGGTTCCCTCTTGTGTTCGTGTCACTCTCCCTCCTGGCTACTCAAACACAGGGTTACGGAACTTACACAGCGTGAGTATTAACACTGCCTCAGTATGCTTAGGAATTGAGTCCTAAGACAGAAGCTTTTTCTAATAAATGTCTTAAATGTTTTGTACCTCCACCATTTCCTTAGCTACAGTGTGCATTTGTGTCTCTATACAGTACTAGGTGTTCCTGTGTACATTGATTTCAGGACTGAGTATCCTGTATATGTTTGCTTACTGTATTACCTGGAGTGTATAGTGTATATACTTCCACATTGATCACATTGTCCGAGTTTCATCTTGGTATACCTGGAGTATACCTGCAGAGGGTTTCGGGGGTCAACACCCCCGCGGAGCGGTCTAAGACCATTCCTCTTTGTGGATCAGGGCCTGATCAACCAGGCTGTTACTACTGGCTGCACGTAAACCGACACACGAACCGCAACCCGGCTGGTCAGGAACTGACTTTAGGTGCCTGTCCAGCGCCTTCTTGAAGACAGCCAGGGGTTTATTGTAATCTCTCTTATGTATGCTGGGAGGCAGTTAAACATTCTTGGACCCCTGACACTTAATGAGTTGGTACAACAAATCTACGCTACTGGTCTTGCACTTTTCCACTTGCATGTACAATGTCAGCACTACGGTAACGTAGTGAGGCGATACCTCAAATCAAATTCAAATTCAAATTCAAATTCAAAGTTTATTCTCTATAAGGATTACAATGCTGAGTAAACAGAATTTGGTTATTGTGTGGTTTATATGTAGTAAAATAATAATTACAGAGTGTACCACTAGAACACCTAGCATGGCTAGGCATTTCGGGCAGACTTAAATTAAATCTTAAGTTTAAAATATTACAAAATTATGAGGTAAGTTGGTATTATGGCTAAGTGACTAAATACTAGTTTGTGAGTTTAGCAATGTGAATGCTTTTGTTTTGGCACTATACATAGTTTCAGTATTGGAGTATCACAGGCCAACTTATGACTAGTTAAGGTCCTGTAGATGTAGATTGCACAGTAGTAAGTGTGGATGTACTGAATAGGGAGTAAGTTTAGATCTATTAAGAGTGGGGGGGGTGTGATGCCAGGGATGGGATTTAGTGATTATTCTTACTGCGGCTTTTTGTTGGGTTATTATTGGCTTTAGGTGTGTTGCTGCAGTTGAACCCCAAGCACAGATAGCATAGGTGAGGTATGGATATATAAGTGAATGGTATAGTGTGAGAAGGGCAGTTTGCGGCACGTAGTATCGTATCTTGGAGAGGATCCCAACCGTTTTGGATATTTTTTTGGTTATGTGTTGGATATGGGTGATGAAGTTCAGGTTGTTGTCGAGGTATAGGCCTAGGAATTTGCCCTCATTATGCCTGGCAATTAGAGTGTTGTCGATCTTAATGTTAATTTGTGCATCTCCTGCTCTGCTACCAAACATAATGTAGTAGGTTTTGTCAGTGTTAAGCGTAAGTTTATTGGCTGTCATCCAAGTCGATATTTTGATCAGCTCCTCATTAACAATGGTGTTGAGGGTGGCAAGATTAGGGTGAGAGATGACATAAGTCGTGTCGTCAGCAAAGAGAATGGGGTTCAGGTGTTGAGATACGTTTGGAAGATCATTGATGTATATGAGGAAGAGCAGGGGACCAAGGACACTTCCCTGCGGAACTCCAGTATCAAGTGGCCGTGTAGTTGATGCTGTGTCTTTAATGGTGACATACTGATTCCTATTAGTAAGGTAAGATTTGAAATATGCAAGTGCATGGCCTCTTATACCATAATGGTCAAGTTTGTGGAGTGGGATGACGTGGTCTACTGTGTCAAAAGGTTTTCTTAGGTCAATGAAAATTCCTAGTGGATATTCCTTATTTTCCAATGCTGTGTAAAGCAGATCTAGCATTTTTATGATTGCATCGTTAGTGCTTTTATTTTTCCTGAATCCAAATTGGCAGGGGTTGAGTATGTTTTGTGCCGTTATAAATGAATATAGTCTCCTGTGCACGAGTTTCTCAAAGATTTTGGATAGCAATCGTAAGTTTGATACCTGGAGTTTACCTGGAGAGAGTTTCGGGGGTCAACGCCCCCGCGGCCCGGTCTGTGACCAGGCCTCCTGGTGGATCAGCGCCTGATCAACCAGGCTGTTGCTGCTGGCTGCACGCAAACCAACGTACGAGCCACAGCCCGGCTGATCAGGAACCGACTTTAGGTGCTTGTCCAGTGCCAGCTTGAAGACTGCCAGGGGTCTGTTGGTAATCCCCCTTATGTGTGCTGGGAGGCAGTTGAACAGTCTCGGGCCCCTGACACTCATTGTATGGTCTCTTAACGTGCTAGTGACACCCCTGCTTTTCATTGGGGGATGGTGCATCGTCTCCCAAGTCTTTTGCTTTCGTAGTGAGTGATTTTCGTGTGCAAGTTCGGTACTAGTCCCTCTAGGATTTTCCAGGTGTAAAATAATCATGTATCTCTCCCTCCTGCGTTCCAGGGAATACAGGTTTAGAAACCTCAAGCGCTCCCAGAAATTTGAGGTGTTTTATCTCCGTTATGCGCGCCGTGAAAGTTCTCTGTACATTTTCTAGGTCGGCAATTTCACCTGCCTTGAAAGGTGCTGTTAGAGTGCCAGCAATATTCCAGCCTAGATAGAACAAGTGACCTGAAGAGTGTCATCATGGGCTTGGCCTCCCTAGTTTTGAAGGTTCTCATTATCCATCCTGTCATTTTTCTAGCAGATGCGGTTGATACAATGTTATGGTCCTTGAAGGTGAGATCCTCCGACATAATCACTCCCAGGTCTTTGACGTTGGTGTTTCGCTCTATTTTGTGGCCAGAATTTGTTTTGTACTCTGATGAAGATTTAATTTCCTCATGTTTACCATATCTGAGTAATTGAAATTTCTCATCGTTGAACTTCATATTGTTTTCTGCAGCCCACTGAAAGATTTGGTTGATGTCCGCCTGGAGCCTTGCAGTGTCTGCAATGGAAGACACTGCTATAGTTGTTTAAATCTGTAGGGTCACCACCTTTATGTATTGGTGTAACCCTTGCCGTCTTGAGTAGTTTCGGGAAGGTGCTAGTTTCTAGTGACTTGTTAAAAAGTAATGAGATAGCATGCGAGAGGATAAGGGCCGCTCTCTTGTACAATAATTGTGGGACACTTAGTGGCGCACTTAGTCAATTTTCTATTAGAACCGTTTCCCAAGAATACTTAGTCTTTAAATAATAATAATAATAATAATAGGTTGGTAGACAGCAACCACCCAGGGAGGTACAACCGTCCTGCCAAGTGAGTGTAAAACGAAAACATGTAAATTGTTTTACTCGATGGTATGATTGCTGGTGTCCTTTTTCTGTCTCATAAACTTGCAAGATTTCAGGTACATCTTACTACTACTACTTACACTTAGGTCACACTACACATACATGTACAAGCATATATATATATATATTATATATATATATATATATATATATATATATATATATATATATATATATATATATATATATATATATATATATATATATATACCCCTTTGGGTTTTCTTCTATTTTCTTACTAGTTCTTGTTCTTGTTTATTTCCTCTTATCTTCATGGGGAAGCGGAGCAAAATTCATCGCCTGTAATTCATGCGTGTCGCAAAATGCCGGGAGCAATGGGCTAGTAACTCCTCCTGTAGAAAATACTAAAAAAAGAAAAGAAAAACTTTATAAAACTGGGATGCTTGAATGTGCGTGGATGTAGAACAGATGACAAGAAAGAGATGATTGCTAATGTTATGAATGAAAAGAAGTTAGATGTTCTGGCTCTAAGCGAAACAAAGTTGAAGGGTGTACGTAAGTTTAAGTGTGGAGAGATAAATGGGATTAAGTGTCCCGTTGATCGATCGCTAGCGTACTCAGCTCACACGCTGAGGTCCGGAGTTCGAATCTCCTCCGCTTCGGCTGGAAAATATTAGAAACGTGTTTCTATAAGACACCTGCCGTTAAAGTTCACCCATCAGTATAAAATGAGTACCTGGTCGAATGGTGTGGGTCGCATCCTGGGACAAAACTGACATAATTTGCACGAAATGCTCAGCATAACAAGCGGCTTTCAATATAGTAGTATATCATTGATGTCTGTTAGTACCCTAACTCCGATAGATTTCGAAAAAGCCATTGACAACATGCCCATGTGTGTGTGTGTGTGTGTGTGTGTGTGTGTGTGTGTGTGTGTGTGTGTGTGTGTGTGTGACTCAACAATCAACATTTGCACCAATAACTCATTACAGTTGTGACCGGGTGTGGAAGTGTGAATTGCTCATTACTCTGGAATTTGTTCATGATTGTACCCATGTATAAACGTAAGTAACCATTCTTAAGGTTCATTACCTTTGTATTTGTGGTTTTTTCTTTGTTCCTTTTTATTTTCAAACTTTGGACCCCAGTCCTGGACCATTACGTACCTCTGTATCTGTAATACCTTTGTAATTGTCATAATTGTGCTGACCTCCCCGGGAGTTCTTCCCCTGAAAATTGTGAGTTCTTCCCTTTGTAAATTATGAGTTCTTCCCTCTGTAATTGCTCAGTATAAAAAATTTTGGGGGTCCGTCCCTGGACAATTATGACCTTGTAATTTTTGACTACCGCCCACAGGATGGGTTGGGGTGCATAAAAACTATAAACTAACATCCCCATGCACTCCCCCGGGCCAGATGTGGAATCTGTTTTCATTAAGAGGCAAAAAACCCTTCGCGTGCTAAGTACACTATGGAGGGGGAGTTGGGAAATGGGTAAAAATTCACATCATTAAAACAATGGATCCGCCCACCCCCATAAAGGGTGGCAGAAAAGTTAGCTAAAAAACTTAACCCAATAGCTTGACGTCCCACATAAAAAAAAATCTTTGAAAGGTGCTAAGAAGAGGTTGAAAAACACTGGATTCCCAAATCTGACAATCCAGGGAAACGGGTTCAGGGCAGGTGCCCCTGCCTTCACAACTACTGGATACTTGACATGGCCTTGGATGCATGGAGAAAATCAAAATGCGATGTAATATAACGACTTTCATGC